CTCCCAGTTGCAGAGCTCCGTGGACAGCCACGGCAGGTGAAGCAGCTGGGCTGGAGCCCCTCGGTATCTTTTCTCCCCGCTGTGGCTCAGCTCACACACTCTGGGGCTGGGAGCGGGGCCGCTCCGTTTCTGCTGGCACCGTGTTCCGGGGCTTGGACAAACAGATTTCTGCCAGGAGAGCCCTGCAGACTGTTCCACATATCTCACATAAAGGCCTCAAAGAACAACTACAAACACTCTGCCTACAGCAGCTTTCACAAAGGGCTGCAGAAATCCAGGACAACTTAAAGGGAGAGGCAGAAGGCTTTTGTCTTGTTCCTGACACCAGAATTCTTGATGATCTGATGCAATTTGATTCAGATGGAACATGAGATCTGAGTTTTTCCATTGAAATATTTCATGATGAGTGACAAGCCTTGGAGCAAGAGGTACAGGACTGACATGTGAAACCATGAGCATATCGTCCAAAATGACCAGTTTAATTGTCCATTTTATTACTCTTGTATTTATTGCACAACTCATAGGCAACTCCAAGCTTTGCTTGGAGGCAAACCAGGCATGGGATACACTACAGTCCCTTGCAGAGCCCCCAGGGTCCAGGGCTGGCAGTGACAAAGCAGGCAGTCTGCTTCATTGTGAACCACTACAGAGCTTAAGCCCCCTTTTTCTGCATGAGATACAAAAAAGAGGTCTCAAATGACTTTCATGCAAGCATGCAGTAAAGAACTGATCCTGCTCTCCTAATGAAGCTTTGGCTTTGGAATTACACTCTTCCCATTCATCCTTTGACTCTGACACTCCAGGTTTGCCCCCACACCCCTGCAAGGCTGGCAGTCACTGTTTCCCATTTACTGCTCTTCCCTAGAGCCAGTACAGTGGCTGCTTTGAAACTAAAAGCCCTGAGATCTGGATATCTTGAAGGAGCATGAAATGCTAATCAAGTGTTCCCATTGGTAATACCCAGGTCTGCACTTGCCAGAGCTCTGAAGCAGCAGCAGGAGGACCATGCATCATTGCTGTTTGTGGATGTTCATGTTTCTGGTGGGAGAGAGCAATGGCTTTGAGGAGGGACAAGAATGCCCCTCTTCCAACAGTGGCTGAGAAAGGAGATGTGAAGTTTCACTGCCTTTTCTAGGATATTTTTGAAAGATCTAAGAGAATACTGCAGCATAGAGCTGGTCCCTAATTGTGTCTCCAGAGAAATCCCCAAAGGAGACATTCAATCTCCTGCTGATGGCAACCCCATAAGCTCATGGACCAGTTTTCCCTGAAACATGCCACCCTGCTTGGGCTTTACTAGGCCAGGACTAAACCCATAGCTAAGCAAACACATACAGCCACATGACATAGGGTTTTTCCATCAGAAAACCTAATTCTAACACATTCACATGCGGTTTCTTCTGTAACATCAGAAGCTGGCAACCATGAGGACTTTGCTGGCAAAAGCTTACTGTATGCACTGGGACCAGAAGTGGTTTTCCTTAAGGCAAAGCAAATGGAAATGTGAAGGTTAAAAGCTTCAAATGACTATGACAGAAAACTGCAAATTAAATTCTGGATAGGAGTTCTGGTTTGAAAGCAAAACCAGTGAGAGACTGCAAGTCAGAAATATAATTTATTGGGAAAAGGAAACAAAAAACCACAGAAAAATACCCCATCCAAAATACATGCAAAATACAAAAAAAAAAAAAACAAAAACAAAAACAAAAAAACCCCCAAAATACACCGACAGAGTCAGAATACAAAGTGACAGCCTCTTGGTCAGGGTGTTGGTAGCAGTCCAGTTGGATTGGTGGCTGCACTCCTCCTGGAGTGGCACATGTGATCCTATAGAAGGGTATAGTCTTCCTCTGAAGATCCAGTGGAAAAGGCAGCCATTCCTCTGGGAATCCAGTGGAAAGGCTGCTTATTCTGTCCCAAACTCCAGATTATATCCACGTGGGGATGCTTAGTTCCTCCTCCCTGGGCACAGCATCTCACAATGGGCTCTTATTGTTCCATGAGTCATGGGGTGGGTGCATAAGACACAAAGGGCTCCCACAGGGAATTATCTCTGAGTCATGGGGAAAGGCATTGATGGGCCTATTAACAGGAGATAAGGAAAAGAACAATGCCCCTCCTGGTTTCAACAGCTCTTGAAGATGGGAATAGAATACATATTTATATTGTAACCAAGGACAATAGGGAGCATTGTCAATGATCATGCAGCCAATCAAGAGCTGGAGCTGAATCCAGAATTGCTTGTTCCAGCTATGCAGGAATTCTTTACCCTGGCAAGAACAGCTCCATGGGAACAAATGATCTCTCATCTCTGCGCCGAATTGTAGCATAGTGTCTCCTCTATGGGTTTTCTTGCAAAGGTGGTTATTTTTTATATGTTAAGATTTTGGGTTGACCCTCGGTTCCCCCCATGTTCTCCCTCCTAAGGGTTTGTTCCTCCCGCCAGTTACCTGTCTATCATTGTAACCAACCCCCTTTCATTTCGAGAAATTTCTATCTCAATCTTCCCTTACTTAACATATGGTTTGTCCCCTGAGCCTTCTCCCTCCCCTGGGCCATTCCTATTGGTTCAGGTGTGTCTCTTGCTCCTCCCCTGAGCTTCGTTCATTGGTCCCTCGTGGCTCCTCGTGTCACGCCCTTCCCCTTTATAAGTGCCTCCCCAACGGTTTTTCACTGACACCGTTACTGGCCCCGCCTGGGTCAGTAAAGCACCTTGGCATCCATTCGTGTGTCCACTCCCTCCTTCCTTCGCCTCAGTACTTCGCAGTCCTGCTCTCGCCTGCGTCACCACGCTGCACACAGAGCCACTACTCAGGGGTTCTCGCAGAGTACCTGGGAGTGACGGGATTCGTGGTCTGCACTGAGAATGCCAGTGGTCGCAGGACGAGACTGCACTGAATGGCACCCAGACTGCAGTTTAGATTTGAGGAACTCTTGTCACGTGTTACTGGCTTCATAGTCCACTCATCCTTCTGCAAACAACTTGCAAACAACACAGCTGGACTGCTGTCCTGGGTAAATATACACACAGATGACTTTTCCAAAGCTGTGCATCATTTCCCAGTGAAATACACAAGATCTTCTTACCTATGAAATTGTGATTGAGGACACATGTGAGCCAGATGTGTGTGAGATTGCAAAGGAGCAAAGCTTGGCCATTTGGGCACACTTCTCTTGGTTTCTTTGCTCAGGCCTTTGGTGAGCACAGAACACATCTAGTTAGAAAACTTTTAACTCGACAGGATCTTTTGGATCTGTTGTCCCTCAAACATGTCAATGTGTGACCCTGTTGTAATGATACATTGTCCTGGCTCAGAGCAAATTTCGAAGAGAACCCCCACAGGGACTGTTTTAGTAAAGCAGATTCAATTGGCCCCTCTCTCCAACAGTCCGGGAGAAACTACCTCCTTGGAGAAAAGTGGAAAAAACTGTTTATTAAACAATAAAACCTAAACAATATTAAACAGTAATACCCCTTGCTGCTCCCAAAGAGATGACAAACTGAGAAAGCCCCATCCTCGGGTTGCAGCTCACTCAGTCTCTGATCAGTCCCTCCAGTGCTGGAACTGTCAAAGGCCAGGCCTGGCCCCGTGGGCCTCAGGTGCAGCTGCCGGTGCTCCCCTGGGTGTTCAGTCCAGAGCAGGCTTCAAGAGGTCCAAAGAAAAGGGAATAAAACCACAGTCCAGGGAACTTCTCTGCCTCAGCTAGCTAAACTAACTAAAAGCAAAAGAGAGCTCTGTCCCGCTGTCTGTCCATCTGCAGACAACACAGTCCGGGGAGCAGGAAGGTGTAGGAGGAGTGCAGTGTCTGAAAACAAAACTGTGTGCTTCTACTCTCCCCCCCCTTCACTCTCTGGAACACGTCTTAAAGGTGCAAACCTTATTATTCAGCCTAAACAGAACGATGATGGAGGATAAAAGCATCATATAGTCAACCCAGGGCACACGTTAAAAACAGCAGCACAAATGACGCAAAGAAAACATGGCAAAAGAGGAAGAGGAGAGGCCCAATGAGGAAAGGAAGTGGTGAGACACTGGCACATCGAGTGAGCTGCACTCCCACAACCTCTAGGCTAGCAGGTCCTGGTGTCACAATCTCTTTTTTGGTTTCTTTTATTTTTTTTAATTTTTAAATTTTTTTTAAATCATCAAAATAAAATATATACAATTAAAATGATGTCATCAAGAATTAAAGATACAATCAAAAAACATTTATTTAAAACTACATCAAAATATCATATGTACATAAAAAATTAACATATTTATAAACATACAAAAATAATTACATCGGAATAATAAATGTACAGTTGTAATTATGAAGCTTAAAATATAAATCCTGTTAGTGAAAAACTCTTCAGTCAGTTGGCAGCCTCTTTCTGATCTTCGAGGAAAAACAGTTCTTCTGGACTGGAGGCAAGGGCTTGGTTGATAACAGAAACATCAGAAGCTACCAGAAAAAACCACTCAGCAAGACTCTATCCACTCAGGCCTGCAAAGTGGAGATACAAAACGTAACAGAGCCCACTAAGTGAATCTAAAGCATCTGAGGCACCATATTTCATGGCACAGACTTCCTGGACACTTCTATACAACTGCACAGGGAAACATGCTCCTGATGGCAGACACTTGAGGCAGGCCAGGGGAAATCCCTGAGCCATTCCCCAGAGCTGCCAGAGGCACAGCCTGGCCTCTGGGCTGCCCTGGGACAGCAGGGAGCCCAGAGCCCTGTGCTCTCCAGCCATGGCTCAGCTGCACATGCACCCTGCTGCTCCTCTCCCTGCCCCACAGCTCAGCAGCCCTACAGCTCCAGGGCCACTGGCAGCAGCACAGCTCCTTGCAGGGGGCACATGCAGGGCACAGCTGTTCCTTGCCAATGTGCACAGCCTCTCTGCGCTGCCACAAGACCCTTCCTCCCGCCAGATGGTGGCCCTGCTCCCTGCTTACCTTTTTGGGAGGCACATCCATGCTTGGTCTTCACCTTGCCCTCAGTCTGGAGCTCCTTCAGGCCTTCCATGCCATCACTAGGAAGGGCGATGGAGAGAGCGGGGGCAGATGCACACCCTTCCTTAGTATTTTGTCATTTTCGGCACAGCTGAAAAGTCCCATCAGAGGTGTCCAACTCAGCACTTGGTCAGCTTTCTGGAGAACGTGAAACCTTCACCAGCCCAAAAGGCTGGAGAGGTTTTCCTGCACGTGTGGAGGCTTGCTCTCAGCACACGTAATCAGCTGGGTGCCCATCACCTCCCAGAGGGCACAGGCAAGCTTGGTGACCTCAGCGCAGACGTTGGCGCTTTGCACCGGCAGCGCCTTGCTCTCCAGGCAGGACCAGAGCACGGGCAGGGCGTAGCGCTGCACCACTTCAGGGCTCCTGGCATGAACCCATTCCACAAGCACTGCCGGGACAGACACACAGCTCCTTACCCACCAGCCTCAATGCAAACAAGGATCTACCTCTGCTTTTGCTTCTTGGGAGCCTCTCTGGCCAAGATCAGTGAAATAGCACACAGAGCCCCATGACCCAGAAATGGGCAATGCAGCTGATCATCCTTGAAACAGAACCACCAACCCCTCCGGACTAATTTCTCCAACCAGAGCTTTTTACCTGTGGCAGAGACTTTCTACCATTACTAAATTATTTCACAATTTATGTCTGCATGAACAATGAATGAAACATCAAATTGCCTTCTCTTTCCATTGACAACTTGTCTAAACCCACACGGAATCTTTGGAAATGCACCCTAGAGAGGCAATTGAGAGATTTCTAATAAAAGGAATGATTCCTTTTTGTAACTTTGATGTCAAGGGCCAAAAGTCTCATCTGGCTCTTCCCTTTGCTCCACAGCACACAGCAAAGGGCAGTATTAGAGCACACTTCAAAACTCCAGCCCACCAGAGATGGCTGCTGCTTGACAGCTGGATGAGGAACATCAGTGCCTAGCTGGTGTCTTTGGCAGAATGCTTTTGTGCCTTCCAACCAAGAGCTCTTTCAAACCTCACGGTGTCTTAGAGAATTACCCAGACCCCATTGCCCTGGCATTTGAGCATCTCCACATTTTAATGCCATTTCGCCTCTCAATGCTAATGGCACTTTTTCTTACAATGTGCACCGAAATAGAGGCATAGAGAGAGAAAAAGGCTACACATGGGACTGAAATTTAGCCGGAACACAAGTGTTGTCTCACATTGTCTCTGGAATCTGCTCTCTGCTCATTTTCTGAACTGAACTATATCAAACACAAACAAAAATTTACTACCAAAAGGCTCCTTGCATGGCAGATTTGGCTGAGAGATCAAAACCTGAAATGCTCAGGAGACCAGTCTTATTTTCTGATCAGGCAAAATGTTATGTACTAGCTATTTATTATTCTGTGATGGAAGAGATTTCATTTTCTCTATGCTCTTAATCCACCAGCAGTCATCAACATTGAAAGAGCTCCTGAAAGTACCCCAAACCAATTCTGCTAAGCAGGAAAAGGGTTATGGTACCCATTTTAAAACAGGACTTCATTTGAGTTTAAATGCAATTAAAGACATGGGTCACTGTGGAAGTTGAGAAGAGCCCCAGTGAGAGCTGAGCCCGAGGCCGAGCGCTGCCCCATCTCAGATGCTGCACAGCTCTGCAGCAGCCAGGGAAAGCCTGCCAAATACACCTGCCTTGGCCATTGGGCAGGAGGGACAAGCTCAGCCCCTCCTGATGTGGAGGAGCTACTCTGCTCTCTGCTCACAGGCATTCCCTGTCAATACTCCCTCAGAGACCTCTTGGCTTACAAGGGGAGGCCATACCTGTGATGCACTCTGTCACTTCCAGAAGAGCTTCACCACTCAGTTTGCTCCATTGGTGGCTGAGCTCTTTCATCAGTGACACTTCATCTACAAGTGAAACACACGCTTCTGCTCACTCTTCTGAGGGCATGGGAGAAAGGACAGTGGGGAGGGAAAGGGCAGGGGCATCCCCATTTGAATAGAATAAAGTCAATTTCTGCTGATTTTTGAATCCTTTTCTTCTTTCCTTCCAGCCTACTTGGCAGGGTTTAAAATTCCAAAAGAAAAGCTTTCCTTTCACATGTGTAAATCCAAAGTTGTCTGCTGGACCAGGAGCTATGCTAAAACATTTCACACCAGGGACCTCAAGAGTTCAGTCACATGAAAGCAGGGGAAAGGTTTTGCATCCCAGAGCAAAAAGGAAGAAGCCCATACTTGGGACACAGAAAGACACTGAGTCAGGCAGTTTGTGACTTCACAGAGCAGCTGAGGTGGAGAAAGTGGAAACTGCCCCTCAAGAACTGACTCTTCAACACTCCATTTTTCAGGCATATTCCCCCAGTGTGGCATTTTCAGAGCTGACATAAATCTGTGTGGCAGAGGAATTTACAGCAGCCCTTGCCCAGGCAGGTATTTGCTCTTGCCATCTCACCCCATCCAAAACAACGTGTGGAATGAGGCAATATTGACAGCTGGACTTAGACCTGTTTGTTCTAAAGAAATGTACTTGGTGAATCATCAGTTCCCCATTGGAAAAAGAAGACAAATGAGGAAGGTGGGAAATAGGCAGCTAATGCCTCTAATGTAGAGCCTTCCCAGTGGCTGCTCTGCAGAAGCTCTGATGGGCCGGTGTCCCTTCATGCCAACAGCAAAGCTGTTCATTTGGCAAGTCAGACGGGGCCCAAGCAAACTGAAAAACCCCTTTGCCTCTGAATTGTAGCAAAGCTGGAGTCCAGGACTTGCTCTTCAGACCAGTGGCACAGAGCCAAGGCAGCCTGGGACTGTTGGGAAATGCTGCTGCACATTCCAGCCTCTTGGGGATGGTGCATAAGGACTGCACCTGCACAGCTTCTGGTGGGTGTCAGCTGGAGCCTTCCACAGACAACAACAGCTCCCAAGGCACTCAGCGCTCTCTTGTGTGGGACAGACAGAGACACAGGTGAGGAGAGTCCATGCCAGGGCTCAGCCTTACCTAAATGAACAACACATTGGTCCAGTGCGGTCACAGCTGCGGCATGAACCCCGGGATCCTTTGAGTTCAGGTTCCTTGTTATCCCTTCAACCAAACGGACCATCACTGGGTTCAGGGCATCTTCCAGGAGTGCAATCATTTCTGCCAGCACCTCCAGCGCCTGCTGCTTCACCTTCCTATGGGTGTCATTGATTCTCAGGACAAAATGATCAAAAATCTGTGAAGAGAACAAACAACATGAAAGCTGGATTAAAATGACCTTGTCTGAAGAGGGGATGTAGAAATGAGCACTCAGCAATATAAAAGATGAAAGTGATCCTTTCTGTCAGGTCAGCCCTTGCTTGCACAATTTCACTGTTTTCCTGTGGGCCACTCACTGGAATGGTTGTGCAACCTGATGCTGTTTGAAAGATTTTCATCTGGTTTTGAGAGTTTTGGCTGGGGCCAGAACAGTTCCTATGGTGTTTCTCTCCACCTATAAATCATTAAATCAATTCCATTTATTAATTCAAAAGGCTTCCTTTGCTTTCAAAGTATGGAAGCAGATATTGACCATGCCCATTTTTCTATACAGTTGCCTCAAGTACTGAGGGCAGTTACAATTTTGCCAAAATTGTAGCGGGAGGAGATCTAATTTTTTTTTTTGTCTGTCTCAGAACCTGCTTCTGGAGAAGGACAGGACTCTGGTCAACTCTTCCAGGATCCAGACTAATTCTTTAACTAAGAGGTAGATTTCTGAAATGTAATGTGCTCTACAGCTCTCATTAGAGCAGGTTCAGTCCCTTGACAGCCACAGTATCAGGCACCATTTTCTGGAAAAAGGGAAAAAGCAGCTACTGGGAGAAGAAAGGATGGATCGGTCCTTAGCTGTTTTCCTCTTTTTCCAAAGAGAAAAAAAGGCCCCCCAAAAAGAAGGGTGAGCACCATCTTTACCAAGAGGAATAGGGATGAGGGTGGAAATGAGAGCCAGAGTTGTGCCTGTGCAAGACAAAATGGAGTTTACAGAAGTGTCCTTTTAAAAACATTTTGTTTAAACCAACCCAGCCTGATACTTTTCTTCCCCATGCAAACCTATTTTTCGTCTAGAGAATAATTGCCATGCTTTCAATAGCTGGATTCCCTTCACTTAACCCAACTGGGAGTAGGAGACAGCAGCAGTTACACCAGCAGAAAATTCCGCCATCATCTGATGAACAGCAGCAATAGGCACCTACCAGACAAATAGAGTTGGACTGAAAGAACTTGTCCTGAAGCCTGGACCTCAATTGCATTTGTCTGGGTAAGAGGGACCAGCCTGTCCCAAACAGCCAGGATGTAGTAGTGCCAAGACACACCGAATTAACTTTACTTCTCCAGGCTTCTGAAAGGAGCTAAAGGAAAGGAACCATGAAGATATCCTACATACTTGGACAATGTTACTGGAGATCAGCTGGGGGCTGGTTTTGCACAGATCTAGGAGGAGTGCCACTCCTTCCATCCGTGTCTGAAACCCCTTGGCTTCCAGGAGATGGTAAAGCTTCTGCAGTGACTCCCTTCCTTCCACAGTTGCAGGTAACGTGACCTGGGCTGTTGGACGGTGGAGGAGGCGCCCACCAGGGGCAGACTTCACCCTGGAAAACAAAACCAAATTAGGACCTGTTCCTGGTAATACCTTCAGTTAATTGTGAGCAAAACATCTGGAGGAGCTTTCCTAATTGATGGGATTTCAAGCTAGAAAATCATGAAGCTCTGAGGAACAACGTGGACCTCATCACAATCATTATGGGAGACAATCTGCAAGTGACATTCTCACCACTGCTCACTCAGGAAAACCAAGGATGAGATGCATCTGATCTATCTTCAGATGCCTTCCAAGGCACACATTGCTTTGGGGGGAAAGAGAGACGCTATTTCCAAGTTTAAATGCCTCCTCATGTGGCACATGTGTGTTTTATAATAAGGAAAGTCATCACTCTGAAGAAGGGTCTCTACACCAGGCATGACAATCTGGAAAAGTAGTTCAGATGCATCTGAACAGATGAACAGGGGCAAATCTGAAGGATCCAGAAAATCAGGAACAGAGATAAGAACAGAAGCCAGACATGCCAGAACTACACTCACATTTCATTTGCTTCCCTAGAGACTAGATGTACAGCTTAACAAACCCCTTGGGAATAATCCTCTGGGATCAACCTGTCTCTTCCATGAGCATGGGAAGATGCTAGCCATGCTACTGAGGCATGTGGTCACCTTCCTGCCACCACTGAGCGTGACTGAGCTAAATAAATCCCCTCTGGAAAAAGAGGAGAACAGGTCCAAGTAGCTCTGCCACTGGCATGAAGAGACAGCAAGGACCAAATTCCTGTCCTAAATGCTGATTGCTGCACAGGGGGAAATAAACCAAACACGCTCTCCATCAAGCAAACCATATGAAGGACAGGAATACCAAGACAAAAAGTCCACATTGAGACACCTGTTGACCAAAATGGCTCAGGAATTGCCTTGCTCCTTACTACTCAATCTTGGTACTGTTTGAGGGTAAGAAAACCAGGAATCAGCCAGGCCAAACCACATGGATGGGAACTGCTTGTCTGGGGAATGGCATCCTGCTTCTAAACTGGGACTTCTCATTAAAACACCCATCTACAAAGGACTCCATTTGGATGAAAAAAAAAATCCTGTTTGAATTTCCTTGTCTCAAGCCAGGCAGCAGAGACTTGGCCCTCTTCAAGCCTCCACAGCACTGCCCTTGCTACTGCAATGGATTGTCTGAGCTGCAACCAATGGGTGTCTTTGTGTCACCCAATTCCTGTGGAAAGCCCTCCAGAGAAGTTGTGTTCAACACAATGCAGAAGTTGACATATTTTGTCCTAGAGCATTTGTAAGGAAGGGAAACAATCTCTGGCACTGGCCATCTCCAGCAGAAAGATTTGCCTGAGGAAGAGGCATGTAGAGCTTGACATGTGCTTTGTCACATCTGACAAAAGTGCTCAGTACCGTTTGCTAGAGGGCAGTGGGGCCTGGGGCTTCTTTGGGCTGTCGTTCCTCTTCTCCACTGGCTCCTTGACAGAGGGGCATTCACCCTTCTGGTTTTCCATCCCCTACAAAGACATAAAGAAACCCCATGAATCTTTAGAATATAAAATAGGAAATGCCCTCTTGAAAACACAAGTTAGAACCAGGATCACTGCTACCAAGGCTTAGGGAAACATTTCCTACCATACAGAAATAAACAGACCAGAGGTTCAGTGATGCCAACTCTTTGATTTCAATAGCCCAAGGCAGGTTATGGGTGCTACCACACTGAGCAGCAGTCTAAAGTCCCAAATTCATTAGTCTTGAGCACAAATGGGAATGATGCAAACTGACAGGCAATGAGTGGTCTTAGAGGAAAAAGTTGGACTCTTTGGAGGTTGGCTCAATGTGTTGGAAGTTGATTTGGTTCAACACTTACTCTCCCTGCTCCTGCACCAAGTCACACTCCCATCTGTAATGTTGATAAAAAGAATAAAATCCCCCCCAAACAAACACATGATTTTCCACTGGATGCTGCTGAATTCACCAAGCTTCTTCCAGCTACACATGGCTCGACAGCAGGGCAGTATTCCCAAAAGACAGACAGCAACTGTAGTAACTAGGATTGACTTGGACATCTTCGGTATATTTGGAAATTTTCTTGGCACTGCTGCTTCCAGTCTCTTTTGCAGACTCTGTTATGTTCAGAAGGACTATTCTCACTTAATTGCTTTACTGGGGGCAGAGTAGGGAGAGTGTGGTGGGGGCGTACACGTGAGTGTAACCCATTTTCCCTTCTTTCCCTTTCCTCTTTGTGACCAATATTCAAAGTACTCAAAACCCCACTTTTCCCCTAATAATAGCAGTTCCTCTGTGGTCTGCAGATGAACAGGCTGAGGATTAACAGCTCATTCCCAGGAGCAAAATGATTCAGCAGAAGTGGAATAGGATAAAGACACATTGGGTATGTTTGATCTCGTATTAGCAGTGGCAATACTTGCACAAATTAGATATTTCTCCTGTCAAACACTTACCTTCTTCTTAATTCTGGTCAGAATATCTTCCAGGTCACGCGGGGAAAGGGATTGCTCCAAAAGCTTTTTAAATTTTTGATTATTCAGCAACATCTTCACCATCTCCTGTCCATAATGCCTAAGGAAGGAAGGAAGGAAGGAAGAAAGGAAGGACGGAAACAACAGAAAATGAACTAAGGAAGAGTGTTAACAGAAGAGGCTGATGCCTTAAACTCATCAGGTGCAATTCTTGCATGAGAAGCCATTACCTACTCAGCAAAGAGGAAGATTTACCTCACTTGACACTGCACAGTGCTGTAGCTGAACACAAGGGGCAGGAGGAGAATGTGGGGCAAGAGAAAAATACCATTTCTCTCTGAAACTGCCAGTGTGCTTCTGTGGGATCAAAGGATCCCAGGCAACAAGCAAAACACATCTGCTTTGTTGTCAGAGCCTGTTAGCAGTGTCCTGCTGCCATTGCACAGGAATTTACCTTTCTCACCTCATGATTGCTTTTGATTATTCTCTACTATATGTATGCACAGGGTCAGCTAGGTGCTCTGGTGTTCTTGGCAGCTATTAATGGGAATTTAATCCTCCAAGTAAGGGGATTTTGGTGGTTTGGGGTGATTTTGCCACTAGGTCACCAATGATTTCTTCAAGAAGAACTTTGGAGACCACTGAACCACACATAACAGCATTCTAGAAATCTGCAGAAGAGGTTTAGAAAGACTGAATATGTTGCCTAAAGACCTCTGAAATATTTCTAGGGAAGTCTTAATGCGAAATAGATGTTTGGGATCTTCCAGTGATGAACATTAGCCAACACTTTGGCCTTCTCTTGTGCACCTAAGGCCAATCAAAACTGTTGGACTGGCTAATCTGAGCTCTTTTGATCTCAGTAAAGAATCCTTCAAGTCACAGGAAGTTGGCAATGCTCCTTCTTGCTGGCCAGCCTCAGGTTACCCAGTACAGGCATTTCCCCAGGCAGCCCAGAGCAGCAGTCACAGCACCAAGCATGACAAAGCTCAAGAAGCGTTTGGACAATGCTCTCAGGCACATGGAGTGACTCTTGGGCTGTCCTGCACATGGCCAGGAGCTGGACTGGATGACCTGCATGGGTCCCTTCCAACTCAGCATATTCCATGATTCTATGCCCCTTAGCCACACAGTGAGGTCGCTCATTATTTCCTTGAGTTTCCACTCTTTTGTGGTTTTACCCTTAAAGCCAAACACAAAACGATTTTCCTGGTTTTGGAGGTGAGATGAAGATCATTACCTTGTGTCCTTGTGACAGTCCTGAGCCAGTCTCCCTGCCACGTGTGGGAGCCTCTCAGCCCTGGGGGTGCCTGCGAGCTTGGTGACTCCCATTTTCTCCATCAAGGACAGGAGGAGTTCGGCCGCGCACTTCCGCACCTGGACGTAGCGGCTCCTGGGAAGGAGAGAGCAAACCCTGGGCCACAGGGACAAGGAGCAGCAGCAGCACAGGCCTTGGCCAGAGCGTGCTCCCTGTCCTTGCTGGGGGAAGGAGCCTGGGCTCTCCCTGCACCTTCCAACACCTGCAGAAGGTTCTGTCCTCAGAGAAACACTAAATTGGCATTGTACAGAAGGACTGCCTGCACAGAAGAGTGAAGAATTCAGTCTCCCAGCATTATTGGATACTCCATTTCTTTCCCAAAATTTACTCAGAGAAAGATTAAAGTAGTAGATCACAAATGAATTATTTAGAAATTAAGGACAATTCATGCTGACCCCTCAGAGGGCACCCACTACACAGAGTTGCAGCAGGATGAGGCTCTTTCCACCCATTCATCCCCAAATCTGCAGACCTCTGGAAAAAAACAAATGCAGGGCAAACACACTGTGGGGTGTGAAGTTGTGGAATATCCAGCAATGCAGCCTGTTTCTTTTGTAAAGCTTGGCAAGGAACATCTGAGTGTTTTACCCTGTTCCAAGGCTGAGGAAAGGGTGGCAGGCATTTGAGCCAGGTTGTCCTGATCTAGAGACTGTCTCTTGGGAACTATCAGGCCCAGCACCAACACTTAGGGCAGCATTTGCTTCAGCTGTCCCATGGCACTCGGCCTGTGAAGGTGCCTGGGAAGTGAATCATCATCTCAAGGCTAACATGAAACGTCATTTTGAATAGAAAGCAGAGCTCTAAGGCCAGGACACTCATACAAAGTTCTAAGGCCAGGACACTCATACAAGACTCTTTTTGGCAGCAGCTGCACCTTCTGGGCAGGCTGTGCCACACCCAGCACATTTCCCCCATGTGCTCCATACCCCAGCAAGGACCCTCCTTATTTCTCAGGTTAATGGCATCATGAGGATACGTGGTTTTCCCCAGGGACTCTGGGGTTAGAGCTGTGAAATATCCAACAGTGCTGACAGCTGCAATTGCAATTGTCTCTCTTCCCACAAAAGCACATATTTGTATCCTGAGCCTTTGCAGGCACTTTCACTTCCCCACTGTTCTCCATATCTAGGAAATTCTGACAGACTTGGAGAACTCCAGGAAGCAGCAGCAAGGTGAGTCAGAGGAGCTTTAGTTTGGATATCAGGAAAAAGCTTTTCACCCAGAGGGTGCTTGGGCCCTGGAACAGGCTCCCCAGGGCAGTGCTCACAGCACCAAGCCTGACAGAGTTGAAGAAGCATTTGGACAACAATCTCAGGCACACGCTGTGACCCTTGGGTTGTTCTGTGCAAGGCCAGGAGCTGGACTGGATGGTCCTGATGGGACCCATCCAACTCCCCATATTCTGCAGTTCTGCAACTCTGTGACCTAATGGGCTGCAGGGGGGCAATAATAGGTGACAAGAGGAAAGAAATGAGATTGATGGGACAATCAAGTCACTGAGTCCACAGAAGATGCAGGATACAGGACCCTTCCCTCCCACCATTCCCATTCTCTCTCTCAGATCCCTTCCCCCACCCACACACTGGAAGGTGAAGAACATCACTAAAAGAAGAAGAACCTACTTGACTCCCCTGTCCATGAGAACAGTCATTGCTCGGGCAGGAGTCACGTTCTCTACCATCATCCCCAGGCTGTGACAGGCTGCCTTCTGAATAAACTCTGGGGAGTTCCACACCATGGGGAGAAGGACCGCAGCAACCTCATCCGCCTCGGAGTCCATGTCCTTCTTCAAGATGGCAAAGAGCTCTCCCAGAGTGACGATTGCTGAGCAGGACACCTTGGACCGGAGGTTGGTCACCTGAGGAAGTCATGAGGGGAAACGTAAGAATCACCTTGAAAAGAAAACCCATTTCCTTAGACAAAACTCCCACAAAATGACAGCATGTCCCACTGTGTAGAGAGGAACATAAAAGCACAGGAAGAGCAGAAGAGCCCAAACACAGAAAGGCACTTAGTCTGGCACCAATTTCTGGCTTCACTCCTGCTTACTGCAGGCATAAAAAAATATCTTTCACTAAAGTCTTCTACTTAACGCTTCTACAATGTCAAGTGCTTTGATTTTAGGCCCTTTGTTTTGAAAAACAAAGAAGCAAAAAAAAGTAAATAAAAAAAATAAAGGCATGCTTTCAAACCATAAAGGCACAAGTCATAAAGATAAAACAGTCAGGCGCTCCTGTTCAAAACAGCAACACTTTTAGTTGAAGCCCTCAGACAGGAAACAGAAAACACAGGCTCAGAGCTACAGACTCATTTGCAGGGTTCAATTACAGCTTGGGCAGAGATTGGGACTCTGGCATAGAATGTCATTAGTGTCTCCATTTCTGCCTTGCATTATAATGGCACCACACTCAAAGACAAGTGCCAGCTACCCAACCGGCCAGTAAATATACCTGCACGTACACACAGATCCTACAGATAGCTGACAGACATTAGAAGGTCTAAAACCAGAAATGAAGGCAGTCCCTGAGCACACATGGAGATGAACAAGCACATATCTACTCTACAAGCTTTGTATGAAGTATGGGGGACAATTAAGAACAATGTGCTCACCTCGCTGGTAGCTGCCAAGCAAATCTCACGAAGTCGACACAGCAGGACTTCTGGATGGGACTCAGCCAGCCGTGGGATGTTGAAGAGTCCCTTCTGCTTCAGTTCCCTGAAAGACAAGTACCAAAAAGATTGATTTTTCTCTCTACCCAAGAACTAGGCAGCACCCTCTGAAATGAAATCGTGGAGCCAATTGCCACAGGATGCTGTGGCTGTTAAAAAGCATACACAAATCCAAGAGGCAAAGAGAGAGCTTTCAGAGTGTTCATGTGTGGCCTTTCTGAAAATCTCTGCTATTAAGTCCCTCTGTCACTGCTTCCTAGAAGCTCTGAGGCTGGGACATGTTGCTGTTACTTGTCACCTCCCTGTACCTGTCCCTGAGACACAGTCCCATTGGGCTATTCCTGAGACAGTATTTTCCTTCTTTGTCAGCCCCAGCAGGCAGTTCAGCCCTGAGAGTCTGCACTGCCACTCTGGAGCTGAGTTCCCACTCTACAATCTAGGCCTGTGTATCACCCACTCCACTCCACCTCACACATTCCCCAAAAAAGCACCAGGATATCGTCCCAGAAGATTAAGATTCCATCCCTGGGCAAGAACTGTTGAAACTCTGGCTTTTCCCACAACACTCCTACCTAAAACAAGCCCCACAACAGCAACATGTTATTTAAAAGGTTCAAACAACTCCATCTCTCAGCACTTGCTTTGTGCAGGCCCTCAGCCTCAGGAAGGTATGTGAGGCATCAGGGCTGCAGCACAGGGCTGGTGACTGATCCCACGGGCACCCTGAGTGTCATCGGGACCCCCCATACCTACAGAAGCTCTCTGCACCTCACAGGGCACCAAAGAGAAATGGGGAAGAGAAAGGGCACAGCAAAGGAGATGCATTTTTATCCCTGTGAGAATGAAGCATCCACCAGTGAGGGGATGCTAACCCAGACATCAAAAGGAAACCCAATATCACCTCACATTTGTAGGGTTATCACCTCTGGGCCATCTTCTGTCTGTGTAGAATTTTGGAACACATTGTGAGTGTTGACAAAACATCACAGGCCCATATGAAGCAGTGAGAAGGAAAAGTTGAATTCCAAAAGTGCAAGATTCCTAGAGGATTTTATTTCTTTTTCCTTCTCTTCTGCCATGAGCCCTTCAGGAGTAATAGCAGGCTGAGGGACTTGAAAGCACAACTCAGTCCATTTCTCAAAAAGAGGAGCTCCCTGGAGCTGCTTCTGGGACTCACATGCACGAGTCCCTGCCATTGCAGTCAGCAGTGGGAGCAGAGAGGAATCTTACTCAGTCCCACTGGGCCAGGGGCCCAAGGCACCCAAATCTCTACACTCAAAACTGCTGCCATCCTGCTTCTGCCTTCAGCCAGCAAATCATCTCATCCCACAGCTCACTCTCTTCCCTCCACATTTCCTTTGCAGCTCCAAGGAGCAGCAGGCAAAGCCAGGAAACAGCACGGACCTGCTGCAGCTGCAGCACTGCTGCAGAGCAAGGCCAAGAAAAGGCTGCTCTCCAATCTTTATGCTCTCCCTGCTCTGCAGGCCTTTCACCAGTGCCCTTTGGCCCTCTGGGCTCTCGGGGCTCCGAGGCACAAGCAAGACACAAAAGCTTCTGACCGACCTTAACACTCAGAGGGACACAGAGGGAACAGTGCCTTTCTTACCAGTCATCGCTGTCCAGCATGGACAGTGCCTCCTGCAAGGACTGCTGTGGGTCTGAAAATGCTCTGTCCTTCTGCCCACGCCCACAGAGCTGCTCCTCTCGGCGCTTGGCACCAGGGGCCGTCTGTGAGGTCACTGTAAGGAGAGGGTCGGCCATGGGCGCTGCAGCCCCGGGCACGGCACCCGCCATGGCGCGGCCTGCAGCCCCATCTCCCAGCCAGGGCTCTGTGTGGCACACGCTGCCACTGCCTCAGAGATTCCCTGCTGCCTGCATCCTGGGGCTCCTTGCTTGCTCCCAGCCTCCCCCAGCTGGGCACAGCTCCAGGCTGAAGCTGACAATTGCCCCCACAGCGCCAGCTCCCAAGTGCCACAGGTGCCACAGCCAGGGGCAGCTTCCTGAGGCCGCAGAGCTCCCACTCCCTGCCAGACAGTGCCCACAGCAGGACTGGCCAGCCCAGGAGGGAACTCCTCAGGGGCCTCTCTTGTCTCAGCACCCTGATTTCCCCCAGCCCTGTGGACAGGGGCACTATGCAGCTCCCTGAGGGAAGACCTGAAGCGGCCTTGTTATCACAAGGCCTGGCACCATGCCAGGCCTGAACAGCCTGAACAGCCCAGCCCTGCTGGGCCGGGCTCAATCCCCCCTGAGCAACAACAAGGGCACAGCCATGCCTGACCCTTCACACCTCACAGCACCTCTGTTTCCATTGACTTCAAATATTCTAGACTATCAACTCCTGGAGTAACTCAAAAGTAGATTTGCTGTTCATTCTCAGGACAGACTATGGACCCAAGATCCCGGCTGTCCTGGCTGAGGCAGGAGGCAGTTTGTGTTCCTTGTACAAGAAAAAACCTCGGCAGGAAAAAGCTGCCACAGAGCAGGCTTACCTGAGGAGCTGCATGGGAAGCTGCCATCCCCACGGAGGGTGGGTGTACTGGGCACTAAGGACACGCTGTTCTGCTTCCTCACCACCCTTTTCTTCATGGCACTACCAGGGTGTTTCCTCAGCACACTAGGAGCTGTGCCATTGACAGGAGGTGGGCTAAGGCCTGCAGGGACCAGAGAGGAGCTTGTTGTAAGTGGAGGGTGCTGGAATGGGCGACAATGGAAAAGGCCAGAAAACTTGCTGGAGCTGGGTAACATCTCTTTCTTATCCCAAAGAACTTCAAGTATGACAGTGGCACACCAACATGGGACAGGGATCACACAATCACAGAATCCTAGAGAGTTTGGGTTGGAAGGCACCTCTAACCACCATCTAGTCCAACCCCTGTGAGCAGGGACATCTTCATCTAGATCAACTTCCTTAGAGTTCCATGTAAACTGGCCTTGAACACCTTCAAGGATAGACCAACAACAGCTTCTCTGGCCAAACTCTGACAGATTTTCATCCCCTGCATTTATAAAACAATTCTTCCTAATATCTAATCTATATCTACCCTCTTCTAGCTTAAAAGCAAACTGCAGTGATGCTTCCCCTAAGAAACAAGAAAAAGCCAGTATTGCTGTGCTTTTGTTCTGTTCCAGAGGCAGGCAGGGGCAGTTCCCACAGAAAGTGCAGAGAGCCCTGCGTGATGCCCTGGGGCTGAGTGCTGCCTCCTGAGGGCCCTGCTGCCGCCCTCGGGCAGCGCTCACAGCCCTGCAGGCAGAGCCCCTGGGCCGGGATTCAATCGGGAACGCTGCTGGCTCCTGGGGCTACAACAGAAGCCCTGCCTGGGGCTCCAGCACAGCTCCACAGTGCCAGCTCCTCAGCAGGGAGTGGCAGAGAAGGATCTCTGGAGGTGAATTTTGTTTCTTCCAGGTTGCAGCCTGGTTGAAAAGTATTCTTTTGCCCTCACCTTCCCTGGAGAGTGCTCTCCAGGGGACAGTCTGAAGCCCCAGTGTACTTTGCAAGATAGAATTTTCTACTCTGAAAAAATTTAGAGGTGAAGCTGGGAAGCTGATATTTTCTTACTGGCTCAGTGACGCCATGGGCAAGACAATTCATGCCTCTGTATTTTTTTTGGGAAAGAGAATTAAATCCTATGCAAGCTTCCATTCACATGCAAGAAGAACAGCCCCACAGTCTGATTGCAACATTGTGCAAAGGGCAAGCAAGTGCTCAAAAAGGACCACCACAAGTGTAGCCACCACTTACTTGCTTCAGCTGCATGCTTGGGCTCAACTGCCTTAGAAAGAAGCTGCAAGGACGTTTCCTTTTGTCTCCTCTTCATCTCCTTTTCCAAAAGCTCCATTTTCTTCCTCTGAAAGTTCTTTTCAGCCAACTTGACCAATGCATCATGAACCTAGGTGCAATGGAAATACATCACAGACTGGAAGCAGAGACACACAAACCAGACACAACATCTCATCAGGAGCACAGAGTCCACAGAGTGCCATAGGCTTCAATGCAGCTCCATACACATTCCAATAGTTTCAGAGGAATGTCTCCAGTCCTCACCTTGGCAATTACACACAGTGAGGTGGAACACTGTAGCACCACAACCTTCCACTCCTACAACTGCAACCTATGCCAGGAAGCCCTGCTTGAAGCATGAAACTCATAGGAGTGCTCCAAGACAGATGAAGAGCTCACATGGCCAGTGAGCAGGCAGTTCAGTTCCTACAGGCCATGGCAGCAGAATAAAAACCATGTGCAATACCCAGCAAGGAGGCCTAATGAGCTGTTGCTTAACACCCATGGCCAGCAATTGCAGCTGTTTCTCACTTCCTGGCTTCTGAAGGACTCAGCTCTCAAGGACTTGGTCACTGAGACCAGCAGACCAAAAGGAGGAGTCTTGTGAAAACAGCTGGCAGAAGCATTGATGTTCATGAGCAGAAAACTTGAGAATGACAGGGCTGTGAGATGCAGCCACAAAGGTAACCAGGAAAAATCAAACTCTCCCCTTTGATTTTGTAGCCTTGCTTCCACTCAACATCAGAATCTTTGCTTCTCTGCTTCCAAGGATGCACTTTGCCCACGTTCACTTTGTAGCTTGCTCTGCCATTCAGAACATCTCTAAAACAGTCTTTGCACATAAAGAATGCTTCTGGCATGACCTTAGCACCATCTCCAAACCAGTGACCTTGGCACCACTGGAAATGGCCAAGCAATTGCCCTGGAGTTGTCAAACATATTCCCAAGAGAATCCCCATCTCCCAAGGAGTGGAAGATTATGATTTTCAGTGACATTTAGGGCCAAGTACTAAACAGCCACTGGAAAGGAAGTCTGCTTATCCCTGTTCTTATCCCTTACCTTTCCAGAGCTGTCCCTCAGCTCTTTGTCCCTTGTAACACCACAACTGCTGGGATGATCCATCTCCTTGGCCTGGCTCAGTGGGAGGCCTGGGAATGGAAGCAAGGGTTCCTGTACATCTCTGGCAGATTTCAACCCCCCAAAAATGCCATGCTGGCCAACAGGCAAGACAGGTTCCAGATTGCAGAGCTCTCCTAAAATCCAGAGATTGGGATTGAGAGAAGCAAGGCACAATGCCTAGCGCCTCTCCCAAGGGATGGGCTACTGGCAGCAGACATGACATTGCTCTGTTGGCCAGCAGACTGAAACCTGCTGCATGACAAAGGCCTCAGCCCCTGCATGCTGGACAGCCTCTGTGTCTGAGAGACAAGGGCAGAGATGGACATTGCTCTTGACAGACATTCTTATCTGCCCTTATCATGCTGATTTCAGTAAACATCTTCTTTCTGGTTCCTAAAACAACTCCCAGGTTCTAATTCCTGGATGCATTTAGATCAACATTTTCTTCTCTTTGCTGGAATATTTCGGGGACATTCAAAGACAAGCCTAGGGTTGCAGGAGTGATACCCAAACGTAAATTGTGTTCTTGACACTGCATAATTCATTTTCCCCAAGGATTTTCCTCCCCAGCTGTATGAGATTGGGCCACTTTGGGGCCAGCCCAACTAGAGGTTGATTTTCTTAATGCAAGTAGAACAATGGAGCTCATTCTGGAATACTCTCCAACAGAGCTGTTAAGTTCTGAGAACTAATCATTCTATACAACAACTTGACAGAGGATAAAATCAGGCAGGAAAGTAGAAAAATAACAAAGCTGTAAATCCAGATTTTTTTTTTCCACTGCAGAATGGCCAGCTTAATAATAAAGGAGAGTAAGATCTGGGTTTTGAGGAAAGAGGGCAATTCTGGATGGAAGGCAAGGTCTTGGAAGATAAGAGCATCTGGGAAGGTGGCAGGGAAACTACAGATCCCAGGGTAACCTCCTTCAGACCATTTTGCAGTCAGGTCTGCAAAATGGACACACAAAATATAATAAAGACTGTGATGCAAACCTAAAGCATCTGAAGCCCTGTATTTCATGGGACAGACTTCCTAGAAACTTCTCAACAGCTGCACAGGGAAACATGCTCCTGCTGGCAGACACTTGAGGCAGGCCAGGGGCAAACCCTGAGCCACTTCCCCAGAGCTGCCACAGGCACAGCCTGGCCTCTGGGCTGCCCTAGGACAGCAGGGAGCCCAGAGCCCTGTGCTCTCCAGCAATGGCTCAGCTGCACTTGCACCCTGCTGCTCCTCTCCCTGCCCCACAGCTCAGCAGCCCTACAGCTCCAGGGCCGCTGGCAGCAGCACAGCTCCTTGCAGGGGGCACATGCAGGGCACAGCTGTTCCCTGCCAATGTGCACAGCCTCTCTGCGCTGCCACAAGAGCCTTCCTCCCAACAGAGAGCAGCCCAGCTCCCACCTCACCTTTTTCTGAGGCTGATCCGTGCCCCTGGGGCTCCTGGACCAAGGCCCCCTGAGGTGCCCAGGAGCCCAGACCTCCATTCCCAAGGCCGGGTTCTGGCACAGGAATATCCAAACCAAAGAGGTCCGTGAGTTCCCTTGGGAACAGAGGCATCCCAGGTCCTATCTTACACTGAGAGCTCTTTTCCTCCTTTCTCTGGGTTTTTGCTGTAGGTGCAGAAGAAGCTATCGACCAGATACAAAAGAAGAAGTGAGTTAATTGAACTCACACCTTTGTAATCAGCCCTTCTAATAGGTGAGGAATTCAGGTGTATTTACTGAAAAGATTGCTTAGTTTTTTTTTTCTTCAAACTAACATCACTTTAATTTCTCTGAACAATATGGAGCTGCAAAACCAAGAGAGAAGGGTTCTACTACTTCAAGTGCTGTCCCCTGCCTGCCCACTACTACAGGATCCCTTTCCTTCCAAACACTTGGGAATTCACAGTGCTCTCTA